GACAAGAATTGACCTTGGAAACAATGGCGCTCTATCAGGCAGAAGCCTTGTGAGACCAACAGGGAGCAATGCTATGCCTACACACTGGGAGAGACTATATACCCCGGAAAGGCTGCACACTCCCTAATACCAATAAGGAAGGAGCAATGCCTCTGGGAATGGCTCAGTGATGTCACCAAAAAACATCAGTAACTATTCAGTGTCAGAGGCTTAAAATGGGATCCACGCTGGCATACTTGCACTGACTTCTGTGCCCACTCTTTTCCTTGATGGTATGTGTCGTTGTGAGAGATTGTGCCCTCAAAAAATAAAAATAAATGAAAAAATTAGACTAAACGGCCTCTCAAGTTTTTTTCTAGCTCTAGAGCTAAGATAGTAGTACAGGCTTGCACAACCCACAGCCCTTGAGCCACTTGCTGCACAGGGGAGACCTTGTGAGGGCCTCCCAAAATCCTTTGGTGGGCCGTAGGTTGTGCAGGCCTGTACTGGTAGGAAGAAGTCTGGATTAAGACATAGAGGGCCTGTTTTCAAATCTCACCTCTGCTACTTATTACCTGTGTGACCTTGGGAAAATCACAGCTTCTCTAAATTTTAGTTTCTTATTTGAGAAATAAGGGGGTTGGTTTAGAAGATGGTCAGTAAGGTACCTTGCAGTTTTCAATCCTATTATCCCTTGATAATAAAATTGAAAATAAAAGTCATCATCACCCCAGGGCAGGAACTGAGAAATGGGCTGGTTCCTACAAAGTGTTTAAAAGGGCCAGAGCAGGGGACCTGGGGTCTATGGACTTAAAAAAAAACTGCTAACTGTATTTTAATATAACTGGCTTCCTTTGCACTCCCAGGCATTTGATTTTATGCATTTAAAAACATCATTCTCCTGTTTCTTCTTAATTCATTTTCACCATAACAACTCTGTAAAAACAAACAACGTTGAAAGCTATAAAAATTATTATCAATACAATGACATCCATGGCTCCAAAAGATGATGATGAAACAGGCTTTCCATGACAAAGAAGTGATGGGTTTAGAACACAGAATGAGTATGTATTTTTGTTTATGGTCACTGAGGGAATTTGTTTTGCATGACTATGTACATCTGTTACAAGAAATTTGCTTTTTTATGGGGTAGGGGAGTAGAAGGGAGAGAAAATAGATTTCCGTTAGTTTTGGTTTTTTTTAATAGAGGTAGGGAAGGGTTTCATATACGAAATGTCACTGTATTATTAGTTTTACTTAACTGCTTTACTTAGTTACAAGAGACCTCTCACAAAGCAGGAGTGATCTGTAAATGTATGCAACATAAAAACAAAACACCTCAATAAAAGTTAAAAGGAAATTTTCTGATAGTAGGTCCATAGGCTTTGCCAGACTGCAAAAAGAGTCCATGATACAAAAAAAAAATGGTTAAGAAACCCTTGTCTAGAGGAAGACTTCCAGGTCCAGATTTAAGAAGAAGTATTCAAGATAATAAACAAGAATTGCACAGGATGAGAAGTCGAAGTGCCCACATGACTGAGATCAAAGATCCACTGAAATGTTGAATTAAGTCTAAAGTATCACAAGGTGTTTTCCTCACAACAGCTCCGTGAAATCAGTAGAGCAAGCATTATCATGCCCATTTTGAAAATGAGGAAATTGAGCCTTGGAAACATTCAGTAACTTCCACAGCTTCTTACTGCCTGTAGGACAGATTACAAAATCCTCCGTTTGGCATTTAAGGTTCCCTGCCTACCTTTGCAGAGATTTCATATAACCATCAATAGAATTATAAAATCACAGAATTTGAGAATTGTAAGGGGCCTAGGTAGCCATCTGATCTAACTCATACCTGAAAGGGACCTGTAATATACCAGTCCTAAGTGTTCCTAAAGCTTCTGCTTGAAGACCTTCACGGAGGGGGCACGTGCCATCTCTCAAGCAAGCCTTGCCCCTTCTGAACAATTCATAGAGTTCCTTCCCTGATGAACCAAACACTGTGTTCCAGCCGAAATGAATTACTAGAAGTTCCTTGGACTTGACACTTTCCTGCCTCTGCCACTCCATGCCTGGAATACCTTGCAGAAGTCTTTTCTTCCTCAGGCTCACAATGTCTTCATCTCCCCAGACCAAAAATGACCTCCCCTTTGCTTACTCCACTTTGGCTCTCTCCTCTGCCTCAATCACAGTACATTTTGTCCTATGTTTATTTGCATTCCTATCATATCTCTCCTGGTAGAAAGTAAGCTGCCTGAGGGCAGGGGCAGGAAGTGTATCATTTTGTAGGCAGTGCCTTACATAATGCCTTGCCTAATCAATGTTTGTTGAAATGAGATGAGTCAGCTGCTGGTGACAGACCAAACACTAGCTGCCGCTCAGTGGTCTCCCATCCAAGCCGGCTGACTCCTCCCTCCTGGCTTCCTCCACCACATGGGGCTCAGAATCATCCCTCTGTCACTGAAGGCAAAGAAGGGGCTGCACAGCTAGGCTTTCCTTAGGATTGCTTTCTCTTGGAGGTCTA